CAACAGCTCGTCGTACACCACACTATTCTGGACACAACAGCTCGTCGTACGCCACACCATTTTGGACACAACAGCTCGTCGTACACCACACTATTCTGGACACAACAGCTCGTCGTACGCCACATTATTCTGGACACAACAGCTCGTCGTACACCAGACCTTGTCGCACTTAAACCACTTCCTACACAGCACCTCGTCTATCTTTATGTGGAATTTTGTTGAAACTTGTTTTCAATCTGTTGGTATTTTCAGGTTTTGATATAACTCCCCATGTTCTCAAAACATCTCAATCATCTATCTGGTCAGAGAGTGAGAAACAATACGGTAAGTCGGACATATTAATACCATCTTTTAAGGGACAGATTCGGCATTTTCGGGGAGTTGATATGGTCCATGAATTATTAAGTAGTCTTCAGAAGTACTAGAATTGCATAATTCCTTCGGTTTTTCACTTTTTATACGCCCACGATATAATGTGTTCGTATATTGTCGTCGGTCTGTTCGTGAATCGGCTTGTGAACACAATAGAGACTTCGTTTTTTTATCAGATTTAAAAGAACTATTGCTGAGATCTTGGTCAAGTTTGAATTCGACAATTTTTTTAGTTTAGTTTTTAGAATAGTTTTTGAGTTATTGCTCTTGACAAAATTTGTTTGTGGACACAATAGAGGTTTTTTTTTTTAATTGATTTTAATGATACACTTATATTATCTATCTTATCTAAATATGGTTTGTGAACGCCATAGAGGTAAAAGTTTATGTCATTATTATATGAAATTTTGGTTATGTTTAAATCAACAATATCTTTGGTTAGATTTTCGGTAAGTTTTGACACAGATTGACGACCGCCCTTTTGAAAATTTATCAGGAAAGTAGGCGTATCTTCAACTGGACTATTTCAGCTTTCAGACAACTGATCTATATCAGCCTGTGTCCCTACTGAAGTTGGACAAGTAGAGATCTTCAGACAACTGATCTATATCAGCCTGTGTCCCTACTGAAGTTGAACAAGTAGAAATCTGATCTATATCAGCCTGTGTCCCTACTGAAGTTTGACAAGTAGAGATCTTCAGACAACTGATCTATATCAGCCTGTATCCCTACTGAAGTTTGACAAGTGGAGATCTTCAGACAACTGATCTATATCAGCCTGTGTCCCTACTGAAGTTTGACAAGTAGAGATCTTCAGACAACTGATCTATATCAGCCTGTATCCCTACTGAAGTTTGACAAGTAGAGATCTTCAGACAACTGATCTATATCAGCCTGTATCCCTACTGAAGTTTAACAAGTAGAAATCCTCAGAAAACTGATCTATATCAGCCTGTGTCCCTACTGAAGTTTGACAAGTAGAGATCTTCAGACAACTGATCTATATCAGCTTGTATCCCTACTGAAGTTTGACAAGTAGAGATCTTCAGACAACTGATTTATATCAGCCTGTGTCCCTACTGAAGTTTGACAAGTAGAGATCTTCAGACAACTGATCTATATCAGCCTGTATCCCTACTGAAGTTTGACAAGTAGAGATCTTCAGACAACTGATCTATATCAGCCTTTATCCCTACTGAAGTTTAACAAGTAGAAATCCTCAGACAACTGATCTATATCAGCCTGTATCCCTACTGAAGTTTGACAAGTAGAGATCTTCAGACAACTGATCTATATCAGCCTGTGTCCCTACTGAAGTTTGACAAGTAGAGATCTTCAGACAACTGATCTATATCAGCCTGTATCCCTACTGAAGTTTAACAAGTAAAAATCTTCAAAAAACTAATCTATTTCAGCCTGTGTCCCTACTGAAGTTTGACAAATAATATTTATTGTTTCTATTTAGAAACAAGTTCAGACCGTTTGAAATTGTGCTCTTGGGACATACATCAAGGCTGAATTTAAAATCATTCCATTTTCCTGTAAAGGGGCGTAACTCGTGTCCTAAACCTTAACTTTGTTAATTATACCACTGACCAGTGTGCTAGACTTTGTAATTATCTTCATATTGACCTAGGTGAATTTCGTCGAGATTTTAATTCACGGATTGATTCATTCCATTCATCAATTTATTCATTCATCATTCATTGTCCATCATTCAATTCTTTATATATTTCAGTTCCATTCCAGAATGATAATATGAGGTATCCCGAGTCCTCCTCCTCCGTCCAGTTTATTCTGATATTGACCTACATGCGCAGTGGATCTTCTTTTACCGCAGACGTTATACAACATCACCATGATGCTTTTTATTCCTTCGAACCATTAATATCTCTTTTTCAGTACAAATCCTCAACATATCTGAACGGCACACACAGGTAATAATATCATTTTTCTTCTTAATGTACTCTTAGTCCGAAACGTCTGTCTCTATACCAGACTCTGATATCTGTTGTGAAAACTATCACAAGTTATATGTAACTCAACGAAGAAACGGTACCAGATCTACGGGCATCTAACATGTGAATCCTATAGTAATTGATCTGTCAGTACAGCAACACAGACGGATTATAATACAGATTAAGAACTCTTTGTTGGCTCGTGTAATACCACCAGCTATCAATTAAAGTAAGATAGTTCATGTCCATTATGAGAGTCTGCAAAAGAAATTCCCCCAATGCCTATAAACATAAGATGATTGTCGCATATTAAAACAATCAGAACTTACATGACAATATTGTTCATAGCAAACTAAAGTCCATTAGTATGTAACAATATAACCTCTCGCCCAATGAGTGGCTTATTATTTCATCTAATTTCAGATTAGAACAAAATAATACACAACAATTCCAGATACTTTATTCCATTGTTTTAGATGAAGTATTTGTTCCATTCAAACCCTCCCTTCCCCGAAATCGATTAATTTAGAAATATATTAACAGTCATATTTTCACCATATAATTTCAGAAACTTTACAAGTGAAACTATTGTAACAGAGAGTTTAAAGGTGCTTGAACGCTGGTATAATTGCGATCTGTATAATATAGATGTTGAAACGATGAAACACATATTCATGTCGTTCGGAATTCACACTAATGAATTTTACCAATGTGTAGGAAAAACAAAACTAAAATCCAAAATGTTAAAATGTTTGCCGAAACTAGTAAAAGACTGTAAAGAATCTAAATTACGAGTTATTAAAACTTTACGCGTTGACGTTGAGAACATAATAGAATATTTAAAAAAATTCCCGAATTTTAAAATGATCCATTTGATTCGAGATCCAAGAGGGGTCATGAATTCTAGGATAAAAGTTGAGCCAAAAAAATATGGAAAAAAGAAATTGCCAAATAGTGCTCGGTACTTGTGCCAAACAATGGCGATTGACATGAACAACACGTTTAAATTGGCGAAGGAATATCCCAACAGAGTGACTGTTCTGCATTATGAGGATTTAGCCGAAAACCCCTATTCCACTACGGCAAGACTTTTCACCTTCATGGACTTAAGCATAACGCTGGAAATTTACGGGTACATCTTCCATATAACGACAGCGGGCACCTCAAAGGAAAGAGCGTACGGAGTAGCTAGAAATAATTCCACATCCACCGCCAACAGATGGAAAAGAGATTTAAAATACGATGAAATAAAACAGATTGATGTTGAATGTAAGAATGCTTATCTATTGATTGGTTATTTACCAGTGACCAACTCAAGCGTTTTAAAAGACACCAGTTCGCTGGCTACTCGCGTACAGTGAAAAATACCAGTGAAATACCAGGTAATTTGAGGCCAGTATTTTTCTACTGTCTCTTATTTAATAACAACCCATGGAACAGGTATAGGAGTGCCTCCCTGAACAAATTCTGACAACCGATCAATTCTATTTTTCTGAATATATTACTTGCCTCTCCAAACAATCTACTGGTTACTGGTCTGCCATGGAGTTTCAATGTTATAATGTGGTTAACATGCTTATTATTGTGATAAATTATATTGTGGTAAATTCTATTGTGGTAAATTCTATTGCAGTAAATTCTATTGTGGTAATTCTTATGT